GTCTTACTATGTAGCCGAAGCTGACCTTGAATTCTCTGTATAGCCTAAGCTGGACTTGAGCTCACAAACCTCCTGCTTCATCCTCCTGAGAACAAGGATTATAGGCATGTACCCCATTTGTATTTTCATTTTGGAAAGTACAAGCTGCCCAGTCCCAGTAAGACAACACACTGGACAACCTTGCCATCTTGACTTACGAGAGAAATGCTGTCTTTGTACTTCATGTTGGGGTGTCTGCCCTGGCTGGGGAAATGTTGCAGTGGCTTTTGATTCAGCCACGGTGTCAATATGGACTACTTGAATCGAGCATGCTCAATACGAAGCATAGACAAAGGAAAGGATGGCATTTATCAGATGCCAGGGGTAATAAGGAAAGAAGAGGGTCACCAAGTGCTTGTCTCCCTCTATAGCAGGTCCTGAGGCAGGGGACATGCTGTATGTCCATGGACACACCTCTGTGGTCCACAGACAACATGGGCATGTGTATAGCAGAGAACAGATGTAGTAGACGTGGCACCTCCTAGACTGTGATGTGACTGCTTGGTGTCTCTGTCTTCAGCGACTGTCTCTAGGGGGTTTCAGGGTGACATGAGATGAAGCAGTACGTGATGGCAGCAGTCTTCCCCCTCCCCAGACCTGGGCTTGAGAGTGTTCCCGTTTGAACAGTCCCCTCCTCATCTCATCCCCTGAGGCCCATTTTAGGAACAGACTCTTAACCTCTCACTGGCTCTCCTCCTCAAGGTGCATCCACAGCTGTTACTGGCACAGTTCTAATATTTGGAATGAAAACATGCTGTGACTGGTCAGTATGACACACCGTTCTTGCCCTCTCAAGGGGAGGCCTTTGTGTATATAAATAGGCCAGCATCTGTCTTTCTTTTCTTTTTGTCTTAAGAACAGCCATCATGAAAGTAGTCAATAGGAAGTTATCTGTGTGAGAGGACAGCAGAGACACACGCAGAAGTAAAGAGCCTCTGTGTTCTTTGCATTATCAGTCAGCACTGCAACTTTACCAGATAACGGGCTTTCCTCTTCTTGTTCTGGCTCTGCACGGTACTTCTCATGGTCTTCAGCTTGTCCTTGTCAGGGCTTCTGCTCAACATGTGCTTTAGCTTTTCTAGCACTTTCTGATGGGTCTGCTTGTTTTTTTTGATTTTGACTTACCACTCCTTCCTTTAATTGTTTCCTTCCCTCTTCTTGGGACATAAAATGAGGTATTTCATGCCTCAGGCTGTCACCCCTCACTTGTGTGTTAATTCTTTTTTAAAAAAATCCCCTTTTCTCTGAATTATTCTTATATATGTTCCTGAAAGTTATGGTATGTGCCTGGGTTCCTTTTTTTTTTTCTGTTTGGCAGTACTAGTGTTTGAACTAGAGGCCTTGCACTTGCTAGACAGGCCCTTTACCACTTCAGCCATGCCTCCAGCCCTTTTTGCTTTAGTTATTTTTCAGATAGGGTCTTACACTTTTACTGGAGACTGGCCTCAGACTGCAATCCTCCTACTTATGTCTCTCATGTAGCTGGAATCACAGTTGTATACTACCACACCTGGCTCGTTTGTTGCCCAGGCTGGCCTTGAACCATGATCCTCCTGATCTCTGCCTCTCAAGTAGCTAGGATTATGAGTGTGAGCTACAAAGTCCAGCCCCCTTTCCCTTAATACATCCTGATGAGGAATCTACAATAAGCCTAGTGTAGTGGATATCCTGCTACCTCCTTTACTTTCTGTTAAATGAAATTGTCAACAAAATAGTTCTTCAGATGTAAAACTTACCCAAGTTGAGCATTTATAATAAAAAAATCCGAATTCTGAAATGCTCCAAAATCTGAAACTTTTTAAAGCACCAGTATGTGGAAAATTCCTCTCTATTTTTGTTTTATGGACAAAATTATTAAAAATATTGTATAGAGCTGGTGGAGTGGCTCAAGTGCTTGCCTAGCAAGTGTGAAGTACTGAGTTCAAACCCCAGTACCATCAAAAAAAGTATTGTATAAAATTACCTTCAGGCTATATATATAAAGAGTATGTGAAACAGAAATGAATTTTGTGTTTAGACTTGGGTCCCCTCCCCAAGATATCTCATTATGTATATGCAAATATTCCAAAATAAAAAAAAAATCACTTTTGGTCCCAGGCATTTTGGATAAGGGATACTGAACCTGTGCTAGAACAAGTGTAGTAGCTGTCAGGATCCAGCCACTCATTGCTGTCCCTCCACCCATCCACTCATGCATTTCAGTCAGTTATTAACAAGGGCCAAGATGATGCTGGCTGCTTTCGATACAGCGAAGTGTAAGGTGGAATACCCAGGGAAAGCGCACAGTAGGGCTGAGCCTCCCCATATGCAGCTTCATCATCCAGTCAGCACACAGCTGTACCAGCAACTTATCCATATGGACGTTCTCAGAGATTTGTGGATTTGTTTAAAGGCATTTATTACATTGCATTTTGACTTTACCCTTGCTTTTTTTTTTTTTTTTTTTAGTTTTTTTGTTTGTACATACTTTGAACCTTATAGAACAGTTGCAAGGATACTATAAATATCTTTTCTCCCATCCATTTGGGTTTTATCACTTTGCATTTCCATCAAGAATATATGAGAATTTCTGTTCCCCCAGCCTCACCAGAATCTAGCATCCAGCTCTGGAGCTTTTGCCAAAATGATGGTTCAAAAATGGTGCCTCAAGTGCATTTTCACTTGTATTTTTCTTATTATGGGTGAAGTAGAGCATCTTTTCATGTGTTAAAAGTTCATTTTTGTGCATTTCTTATAAATTCATGTATCAAGGATATTGAGCTTGTCGTATATGTTGCAAATAGTTCTCTCAGTTTGTCCTTTATCTTTTGATTTTGCATGTGGTACTCTTTTGGCTAAGCAAAAGCTTAGTTTTCTAATGCAGTCAAATTTATCACTTTACTGCACTTAGAGTTTGAGTTATGTCAGTTTTCTCCTAACTCCGGTTGAATGCACCTGTTTCCCTCTGGTATTAACTTTGTTGTATTTTGTCCAGTTAGCTATCTGATGCATTGGGAGGTTATTCTTGTATATGATAGGAGGAATAGATGTAATTTTTTTTTTTAATGGCTATCTTCTTTTCCCAATGCCATTCATTAAAAATTCCATCTTTGCTCCAATAATTTGAAAATAATCACCTTTATCATATACCCACTTCCTGTGTATAATTGGACCTGTTCCAGACATGGCCTGATGACACATGTCTGTAAATCCCAGCAGGTGGGGACGTGGAGGCAGGTGGACTGTGAATTCAAGACTAGCCCAAACAAAGTTAGTGAGATCCTATTTCAAAAATAAAACACAAACAAAAGCTATGCATGCATAGCTCAAGTGGTAGAGTGCCTGCCTAGCATGTGCGAGGCCTGGATTAAATTCCCAGTAACACACACACAGACACACACACACTAAACAAAACAAAACAAAGCACCCAAAAGCAAACAGCGGAAACAGTGGGCCTCTTTCTTTCATCCATAACAGCACTACTTCCAAATGTTTCCCATTTTGTATGATTCTGGCTTTAGGATGGACACACATTCTAAACTAGTCAATAATATTTTATTTAGAAATTTTGTATTGATATTCAGATCAGTATTCTGTAATTTCCTCTCTTGCAGCTGTTTTTATCAGATGTGTTATTACCGGAGAAGAACAGTTCAAGGAGGAACAGTTTCAGAGGTTTCAGTCCATCGTTGGCTGGCTCTGTTGTTTCTGGGCCATGGTGAACTAGAACATCATGGCAGTAAGAGGGTGTGGAGGAACAAAGCTACCACCTCAAAGTAGTCAGGAAGCAGAGAGACAGGAAGGGACCTGGGACATGATGTGCCATTCAAAGGCATTCCCCTAGTGACTTGTTTCCTCCAGCGAGGTCCCGCCTCCTGAAGTTTCCTTCACCTCCCAGGCTTTCAACACATGATGCTATGGGGGACATTCCATATTAAAGCCATAACATCACGCTTAGATAAATGTTACACTTGCTTCATGAAAAAGAGTTTGAAAGTTTTCCTTCATTTCTGTATTCTGAAATTATTTTTGTGGCATAAAGAGCATATGGTCACCTTTTGAGTCCTGCCAATGTGTTAAGAGAATTTGAAGACGTGCTTTGGAATTCCTCAGTCTATACTCTTTGCCTTTTGGATCAGTAAGTATGGGGAGGAGTCAGTGGATTTGTGTACTGAGGGCTGGGTCCCCATGGGTCCCATCCCAGGGACCTTGTGAGGGATGCTACGGTTCCTCAGTTCTTCTCTGTTACAATTACCGTGCATGCTGTTGCTTCTACAAAGGGAAGAGAAGTCTTCTGGTGGGTAGGAGTTGTTGGATTCATTCACTGCTGTTGTAGCCTTGCTGGACATTATCACTCTTACTGCAAAAAGCCGTCGAAAAATACCAATTTCTTTCCTGTCCAATTTATCTTACTCAAAGATCCTTGGGGTTCTAATAGTTTCTGTTAAAAATATCTAGTTGTCTAGTAGTCCTTTTCAAATCCTTCAGCACCCAGAAGCAGTAGCTGGCTTAGTCCTGTAGTTTGCCCCAAACAAGAGATGGTATGTTTTCCCTTTTCCCTCGAGGGAGGGGATCGCTTGCTGCTTATATAATTTTCTGTATTGCCCAAATGTTGTGGTGTGCAAATGTTTATATCTCTGGGTGTGCAGTGGGCCACCTATGCATCTCTCAGTAAGTGCTGTGCTCCTCCCCCTTAACTAAAGTGAATTGTTCCCAGTAGGTCAAGGGGATTATCTGTCTAGGTGAGTGAGAGTACAGGCTGAGGAATACAGCTGACCTGTCCCACTCTTAACAGGGAGGTCACCCAAGCTGCAGTCTCACTGGGCTGGCTGAACTACCTGCCCAGGACAGCCAGGGTGGGCTTTTTCTGAGAACTTTTGGGAAGAGAAGCTGCTCCCTGGCACCTGCTTTCCTTCTGGCCCACTGTCACTGCCCTGGGTAGCTGGGAAGAGACTTTTCACAACTAGTTTCTCGTCCTCTAGGCCACTAAAGGAAAGGAGCTGGTGTCTGGGGCCAAAGACGTAAAGAGCCTCCTGGGTGGGCCAGGCTCTGGGGAGTCCAGCTGGACCCAGCAGCGGCAGCGGCGCCTACAGGACCACGGCAAGGAGAGGAAGGAGCTGTTGTCCACTACCTCCTCTCAGGTATGGGGCATTCCAACATAGAGGCTGCAGGGGATCCCTTACCCTGCTTCTGATTTTTTTTTTTGGTGGTACTGGGGCTTGAACTCAGGACTTCGCGCTTGCTAAGCAGATGCTTTACCACTTTTTAAAAATTTCTTTTATTCATATGTGCATAGAATATTTGGGTCATTTCTCCCCCCCTTGCCCCCATCCCCTCCCTCTCCCCACCACCCTCTCGTTACCAGACAGAAACTATTTTGCCCTTATCTCTAATTTTGTTGGAGAGAGTATAAGCAATAATAGGAAGGACCAAGGGTTTTTGCTAGTTGAGATAAGGATAACTATACAGGGAGTTTACTTGCATTGCTTTCCTGTACATAAGTGTTACATTCTAAATTAATTCTTCTCGAACTAACCTTTTCTCTAGTTCCTGGTCCCCTTCTCCTATTGGCCTCTGTCACTTTAAAGTTTCTGCATTAGTTCCTTTGCATTGAGGACATCAAATGCTATCTAATTTTTTTTGGGTTACTTGTCTATCCTCACCCCTCCCTTGTGTGCTTTCGCCTCATCATGTGATCAAAGTCCAATCCTCTTGTTGTGTTTGCCCTTGATCTAATGTCCACATAGGAGGGAGAACATAGAATTTTTGGTCTCCTGGGCCTGGCTAACCTCGCTCAGGATGATATTCTCCAGTTCCATCCATTTACCTGCAAGTGATAAGATTTCATTCTTCTTCATGGATGAGTACTATTACATTGTGTATAAATACCACATTTTCTTAAATCCAGTCATCAATAGTGGGGCATCTTGGCTGTTTCCATAACTTGGCTATTGTGAATAGTGCTGTAATAAACATGGGTGTGCAAGTGCCTTTGGAGTAACCTGTGTCGTATTCCTTTGGGTATATCCCTAGGAGTGGTATTGCTGGATCATATGGCAGAGCTATGTTTAGATTTTTAAGAAGCCTCCAAATTTTTTTACAGAGTGGTTGTACTAGTTTGCATTCCCACCAGCAGTGTGTAAGTGTTCCTTTTTCTCCACATCCTTGCCAACACCTGTTGGTGGTGTTGTTTCTAATGATGGCTATTCTAACAGGTGTGAGGTGGAATCTTAGTGTGGTTTTGATTTGCATTTCCTTAATGCCTAGAGATGGTGAGCATTTTATCATGTATTTTTTGGCCATTTGAATTTCTTCTTTTGAGAAAGTTCTGTTTAGTTCACTTGCCCATTTCTTTATTGGTTCATTAATTTTGGGAGAGTTTAGTTTTTTGAGTTCCCTATATATTCTGGTTATCAGTCCTTTGTTTGATGTGTACTGGCAAATATTTTCTCCACTCTGTGGATGATCTCTTCAGTTTAGAGACCATTTCTTTTGTTGAGCAGAAGCTTTTTAGTTTTATGAAGTCCCATTTGTATATGCTATCTCTTAGTTGCTGAGCTGCTGGGGTTCTATTGAGGAAGTCCTTGCCTATACCTGTTACTTCCAAAGTGTTTCCTACTCTTTCCTGTACCAACTTTAGAGTTTGGGGTCTGATATTAAGGTCCTTGATCCATTTTGAGTTAATATTGATATAGGGTGATATACATGGATCTAGTTTCAGTTTTTTGCACACTGATAACCAGTTTTTCCAGCAGTTTTTGTTGAAGAGGCTGTCTTTTCTCCATCGTATATTTTTAGAACCTTTGTCAAAGACAAGTTGGTTATAGTTGTGTGGCTTCATATCTGGGTCCTCTATTCTGTTCCACTGGTCTTCATGTCTGTTTTTGTGCCAGTACCATGCTGTTTTTATTGTTATTGCCTTGTAATATAGTTTGAAGTCGGGTATTGTGATATCCCAGCATTGCTCTTTTTGCTGAGTATTGCCTTGGCTATTCATGGTCTCTTTTGTTTCCAAATAAATTTAACGGTAGATTTTTAAATCTCTTTGATGAATGTCATTGGGATTTTGATGGGAATTGCATTAAACATGTAGATTACTTTTGGGAGTATAGACATTTTTACTATGTTGATTCTACCAATCCATGAGCATGGGAGATCTCTCCACTTTCTATAGTCTTCCTCAATCTCTTTCTTCAGAGGTTTATAGTTTTCCTTGTAAAGGTCTTTCACATCCTTTGTTAAGTTTACTCCTAGGTATTAGATTTTTTTTTGAGGCTATTGTAAATGGAATTGTTTTCATATATTCTTTCTCAGTTTGTTCATTATTAGTGTATAGAAATGCTAATGATTTTTCTATGTTGATTTTATATCCTGCTACCTTGCTGTAGCTATTGATGGTGTCTAGGAGCTTCTGAGTAGAGTTTTTTGGGTCTTTAAGGTATAGGATCATATCATCTGCAAGTAGGGATATTTTGACAGTTTCTTTACCTATTTGTATTCCTTTTATTCCTTCTTCTTGCCTAATTGCTCTGGCTAGGAATTCCAGTGCTGTGTTGAATAGGAGTGGAGATAGTGGGCATCCTTATCTCGTTCCTGATTTTAGAGGGAATGGTTTCAGTTTTTCACCGTTAAGTATAATGCTGGCTATAGGTTTGTCACATATAGGTTTTATATTGTTGAGGTACTTTTCTTCTATTCCTAGTTTTCTTAGAGCTTTTATCATGAAATGGTGTTGGATCTTATCAAAGGCTTTTTCTGCATCTATTGAGATGATCAAGTGGTTTTTGTGCTTTACCACTTGAGCCAAGCCTCCAGCCTGCTTCTGAGTTTTATCACTGTGCAGGGCATGGTGTTATCTAATTTTCTGAATTTAATTACTTGGGATCCTGTTTTGCCTGGTTTTCCCCTGGCAGCATTTTCTCAGGTAGGGCCAGAAAGGGCCACCTCTGGAAGGGCTCTTAAAGATGAGTTGTGGGGACCCTGGCATACAGTTGCTTCCCTTAGGTTAACTGCATATGGCATATCATGGGGCCTGAGACTTGGTTCCCTCTGTTTAACCCAGAGTCACCCTGACTTGCTTTCCCCTGCTACAGTTGTGAGGTGCTATACCTACTCAGCCAAATGCTGTGGTCACACCTATGTTGAGGACCTAGGTGTGCAGGGCTGGAAAGTGGCCCCTCTGAAATGTGGGTTGGTATCTGCCCTTTCTGACAAATACTCCAGGTGAAAGGCAGAAGTCCAAGGAATTTACTGTTCATCTTCTTGACCTTTTATCTCCTTTCATGATGTTTTGGTAGCAGTAGATCTGGAAGGCTTAGTTCTGGAGGGTCAGGCTGCTTCTAGATGGAGTCTAGTCACAGCCTCCTGAGGTCTGAGGTCCCTCAGTTATTTATTATTAAACTTCTGCCTCTCCTCTCATAAGGTGCACTTGGAGGAGCATCAGGACCCTAGGGGTGGCCGATGCCCCCTCGCCTAGGGTATGTCTGCTAAGCACAGAGTAAACATGCTGGCTGACACTTGATACCATAGGGAGGCAGACACTGGGCTGCTGCAGATCCTGCTGTCCTCAGGTGTGTCTCTTCATGCCTGGCCGATGGCCTTAGTTTCTTAGTCTCCTGGTACTCTCTTCCTGGAGGAGGTGCTGGTTGGCATGGGTGCACTGCAAGGGAACTAAGAACTGGGTCTGAGTTTGGCCATCTGCCAGCCTGGGACCTTGGGCAAGGCATTTAGCTTTTGCTTTCAGTTGCAGTTGCCACAGCTGTAAGTGTGGTAATAACAGCATTGCACGTGGTTCTGGGGAGGAATAACTCAGAGAAGAGTTATAAACCACTCAGCACAGGACTGGTGCACCATAGTTCTCAAATAGTGTGTCTCATCCTCAGCTTGACCTTGTCAAGCAGCATGTCCCAAGTCCCATCGGCTGTGATAGGCAGGGAGTGCCTTTGCCCCACTCTTCCTCTGCAGGGCCTGTGAGGGGAGCAAAGTCTCCTAGAAGAGGCAGTTCAGGGAGCAGGCACCCCACTCTGCCTAGGTGAGCTATTGCTCAGAGTGGTCCTCTGGACTCTGTGACCACTGAGAGTCCCCCAATGTGCTCTTGGGTGTGGAGACCCTTTCTAGCTGACATATCCCTGCTTTGCTGACCACAGTGTGCAGAGAAGAAGCCGGAAGCCAGTGGTTCAGAGGCCGAGCCCTTCCTGGAGCTCACGTGGAGCCAGTGGAGCCAGTGGCGCGGATGTCCATGGCAGGCCCTGAGGGAGGAGGAGGCCACCCGGAGCAACCCTTCATTGTGCTGGGCCAGGAGGAGTATGGAGAGCACCACTCGTCCATCATGCACTGCAGGTGGGTGGGGCGGGCTGGCCAGGGACACCTGCCAAACCTGTGAGGCTGGAGAGGACAAGTGGGGGGTAGTGGGTGGTCCCTAAAGGAACATATTCCCCCACACAGGATCAGAGGACTGCTGGACAGCTGCCTTCTGGGGTCCTGCTCAGAGCTGCCGTGGCCGTGGTCCACCTCTCTACCTTTTCTAGTACTGTTTCTCTGGGATTTAGGAACAAGTTAGGCTTTGTTTTAACCCCAAGACTCACTCAATTTTAATTTGCTTTCTGTTGGTGCTTCTAGGAAAATAGTTACCATGTTCGGTTTGCACTCATACTTGGTGAATGTGTGGCCTTTCAAGAACAAACCATTGTGGAGTGGCTTTCAGTGGGAGGGCAGGCTTCTTGTTTTGACAGTCTGACTGCTCTGGGTCCTTGGGTTGCTCTGGAGTGTGGTGTGGGAGGCTTCAAATTCCCACAGACTGCAAGAGCCCCAAGTGAATCTTACTGCTGTTCCATAACCTGTATTCTTCACAGAACTCAGCATATTGTAGGGCCTAATAATATTTCTTGAATAAATATTTCTAGAAGCAGTCAATACTCACCCTTTAAATATAAGCCTTTTGTTTTGTTTTATTTGCAATACTGGGATTTGAACTCAGGGCCTCACAATTGTTATGTAGGTACTTTATTTCTTCAGCTACTCCCCCGAGCACTTTTTTTTTTTTTGGCTTAGTCGTCATTCAGGTAGGGTCTCATGCTTTTGTCCAGGGCCTTCAGACCTTGATTCCCCTACCTTCAGCCTCCTGTGTAGCTGGACCACAGGCATGGATAACCACACCTGGCTTATTGATTGGGATGGGGTCTTTCTAACTTTTTGCCTGAGCTGGCCTTAAACCACAATCCTCCCAATCTCGGCCTCCCAAGTGGCTGGGATAACAAGTGTGAGCCATCATGCCTGGTGTATTATTTTTCAATAAATTTGGAAATTTGGAAATGCTGAAGAGGACGAGTCTAGAATGCTAACACCTCCCCTTTCCTTTTGTCTCAGAGTGGATTGCTCAGGGAGAAGAGTTGCCAGCTTAGACGTGGATGGAGTCATCAAAGTGTGGTCCTTCAACACCATAATGCAGACCAAAGCATCCTCCATTTCCAAATCACCACTGCTCTCCCTGGAGTGGGCCACCAAGCGGGACAGGCTGGTGCGTGGTGCTTTGCCTGTAGGGTTCATCTGTGGTCCAAGTTGAGGCAGCAAAGCCATCTCCCCTCCCTCCTCTTCATCATTGCCATCCAAGGACCCCACATCCAATGCTGGCCCAGTGGGATCCTACTGTTTGAGGTGATAGTAAAGTTACTGCATTAATAAAAATTGAAACGGGTCCACAGGGGGCCTGAAGATGGCAGAGGCTTCATCCTGTCTCTGCTGCTCTGTCCCTAGAGATCACCTGCTTCCTGCCATCTGTCTGTGTTTCTGACCACATTGTCAGCTCCGGCCTTCTTGCTGCTGAGTTCCCCTGTTCAGGGCCAAAGGTAGCCAGTAGCACTGGGGAGGAGACGCTCTTCTGTTCTGAGGTTCCCCAGGGCCCCACAGCCCCAGGAATAGTAGTGTTCTTTTTCTCTCTGGACCTCAGTACTTGACATAGGAGTTGTAGTTAAGGAGATAAAAGTGCTTTAGTATTTTTTTCTTTTATTCCATTTTACAGAGACACTATATAGCGCAAGAGACAAACTCCAGTTTTCTGTAACTTAAAAACTAAAGGAATTATCCTCATGGGCCTAGGTTATCTCAAGGATTTTCCTGAACCAGTGTCCAATGCCAAGGTCACAGTCTAGCTAAGACTCCTGGGGGTCACCCCCCCAGACCTGGGCTGTTGTGCACTTTCTTATGGTAGTATTTGTTAAATATTTTTGAAGTGTCTCACCAAATAAATCTTAAGTTCCTGGAGGCAGGGAGAACCTTGTTTATGTTTTTTTCTAGAGGCCTTTACAGAGTCAGAGCCAGAGCCCTCCCTGAAAAGGCAAATGGGCAGTCTTCCAACCTCATTGACCAGCTAGAACCAGTACCAGGAAGGGGAAGCAGATAAACCAGGAGTGAGAAGGAAGGGCTGGAACAGTTGGGATTTAAACTGAAAGAAAAGAGGGAAGATCAGAGGGTCTCATTTAGCCATCCAGTTATTGTTGAGGTATATCTGAGGTAACATATCTGTTTTCTGTTGCTATAAAAACGTACTCAAGGCTGGCTACTTTATAAAGAAAAGAGGTTTATCTAGCTTGCAGTTCAGGAGGTCTGAGAACATGGTGCCAGTATCTGTTTGACTCTGGTGAGAGTCCCTTGGCTGCATCACAGCATGGTGGATGATGTCCTGGTGGGAGTGCATGCCAGAGGGAGAGATCACATGGTGAGACAGGAAGCCAGAAAGGGATTCAGGAGCCAGGCTTGCTCTTTTCTAACAGTTTTCAAAAGAAAGAACCAACTTACTCTGGGAGTCCAGCATTATTTCTGAGAGTGATGTACCAATGGCCTGATCATCTTCCACTAGGCCTCACCACCTCTCACATGGGCATACTGGGGACCAAGCCTTCAACACCCTCCATCAATCCAAACCATAGCAGATGACTTGTGGTTTAGCCTCTGTTCAAAGCTGGCTTTGATGTCTTTATGTCATTTTAAGTGTAGTCCATGGTTGCCACTGGATAAGTGGGAAAGGGCCCCACCTCTGTAGCTTGCCTACTCTACACCTCACAGGAATGGCCTGGCCTCTCTCCTGTAGTCATTCCTGACTCCCATGTGCCCTTCCTACCCTCTAACCCTTCTTGTTTCAGCTATTGCTGGGCAGTGGTGTGGGGACGGTGCGTCTTTATGACACGGAAGCCAAGAAGAATCTCTGTGAAATAAACATCAACGATGATATGCCCAGGTGAGCTGGAGTACTGTCCCCGTGCCCAATATTACTGTTTGCTGTGAGTGTCACCCTTCCCTTGTGGTGGGTGATGTCTGACCCTGGGCTCATGTGCTTTGCAGAATCCTGTCTCTCGCCTGCAGCCCCAATGGGGCCTCTTTCGTGTGTTCGGCCGCAGCCCCAAGCCTCACTTCCCAGGTGGACTTCTCTGCTCCAAACATCGGCAGCAAGGGCATGAACCAGGTCCCTGGCAAGCTGCTGCTGTGGGATACCAAAACCATGAAGCAGCAGGTACAGGACCTGCCCATGGGTCTCCCTGGGGCTGGGTACTTGCCTGGAGGGTACGCTGTCCACACTCACCTGTGTTTGATGAATTTCTTCCTCTCTGTTTTGTCATCTCTAGAGTCTTGATTTGTGAGAAGATTTCCAGGTTTTAAGTGTTGAAAGTCACGAACTCCACAGTGCAGACTGTGAGCAAATGTGGACATTCAGAATTGTGCCATAGACTAAGTCACCCAAAACCTCCCAGAGGACCATGTGGCTTATTTTTTAGGAATGGACTGCTGTCTGTTCTGACCCCTGGTTACTTAGCATTGTTTGAGAATTGCAGCTCATGGTGGTGCATGTTCATAAGAGGTGACCACTGTCTGGACAGCCTGCAGCCAAGGATCTCCTCCCTCTGAGCAATAATAGCACTTGTGGTGGTCACCATAGCCTTCAGGAGAGAAAAGATGTGAAATTCACTATTGTAACAGGCTGTAGCGTTTCTTATTAATAGTTTCATTGCTCAAAAGTGGTGTGTTCTTTATGGTGAACATGTTGTTTCCTGCTGTTCCCCATCTTCAGGAGGTCCCTGCCCTCCATATAGTCTATGATGCAGATGTGCAGCTTATACCTTCCCAAGTCTGCCTGCAGAAATGCTCTGTACACCCACTGGGAAGTCTCACAGGCCTTTCAGGCCTAGCAGGACCACAACTGGGTTGTCAATCTCCACTCCCTGCCCCATCGCCTCCTCCTCTCCAGTTTTCCTCACTTGGCAAATGTGTCCCAGTTGGAAACTGGGTGTCTTCCCAGATCCTTCCTCTCCCTCTGCTCACGCAGTTGATCCATGAGCAGATGTTGTCACTGTCATCTCCAAAGTGTATGTAAAGTCCATATCTTTAGCCACTTCTCTGTATTTCTAGGGACCTACTCCAGACCATCTGCAGAGCCCCCTCTGGTGACCTCACCCACCATCCTCCACACCACTTAATCCAGTTCCTCTTCCTTATTGGTCTCTTGCTCTTTTCCTCCAGAGGTTTTACCATGATTTATAATCGTCTGTTTACTTGTGATTTTCAAATTTTTCATTTGACATTGAATAGATACAAAAGCATTTTGAAATCATGGGTTATGGTATAATGAGAAGAAAAGAAGTAAAATGAGTACCTAGTTTAAAAGTAGTACAGTACTTTATGAGTGCTCTGTTACCGTCTCCCCTGCTTCCCCATTCCAAGGAGACTCTGTCTTAAAATTTGTTTGCTGTTGCCTTACATTTTAAAAATTAGTTTGTCACATTAATATCTATCCACAAACAGCATAGTTAACTATATATGATTGGAGTCATGGTGTACATGTTTTTCTAGAATGTTGTATTCTAGTTGGAAGCTTATGTGTCTCCCAGTTGTATAGCTTGGTCTTATCTTCTGGCCGCTTTTACTGAAATTGAGAATTTCTTTATCAGTGGAACTGGCCTTCCTTTTTTGGTTGTCTTTTCTCTCTGACTGCTTTTAAGAACTTCTCATTGGAGTATCTGGGTATGGATTTTCTGGTTTTTAAGTTTTAAAAAAATTTTTTTAACTCCAGCTTGGAATTTGTTGAGTTTTCTGAATCAGAATTTATGTCATTGTCCAATTCTGAAAAATTCTTAGTCATTGTTGTTCCAGTGTTACAGTTCTCTGGTTATCTCCTGCCTTCTGGAAAATATGGGTTAGAATTTCTCTCTTCCTCTTTTTTGTTTCACTTTGCTGTATTTGTGATCACTCTGCAGCTCTGTCAGTTTGCTAATTCTCTCCTCTACTGTATCTCATCTATCTAACTTATCTCTTACGACAGTAATTTCAGTGTTTTAGAAGAGCTAACTTTATTTTTACAAACCGGCTTTGTCATACTTACATTCTCCCTTTCTGTCCATATCTTTAAGTTACTCTTACTTTGCTGAACATGACTGTGGTCAGTGTATGTACACTCATATTTATGCTGTCTGATAATTCTAGTATCTGAAGCCTGCATGGATCTGAGTCTGCCATCTGCTGTTTCTTTGAATGCTTGTTCCTTTTGCCTGAGCTTCCTGTGCCTTGTAAATTTTGATTGTGGGCTCTGTGCCCAGGACCTTTATCCTTGAGACTATTTTGAGGCTGGGGATGGAGGTGCATTTCTCTGGAGGTTGGCCTTCATTTGTGCCAGGGACCTGGGGGCACTACCAGCTTGTGACAACTTTAAAATAAATTCTCTGCTTGAGGTTTCTCAGGCTACTTAGGGGTTATGAATTTGGGTTATGAACCCCTATGGGGGCCAGTTGATGGTTATGAATATGCAGACAGGATAAGTTTTCTTATTATCCCTTTATGTGAAGTAGGTTTATTTCTAGTTCATGTGTGCAGTGAGGATACAACTCTTTGGAGTTCCGACAGTGTGTGGGGATTTCTTATCACCTGAACTTGGGCAGGTCTTACACTTTGGGCTTCTGAGTGCTTTGTAGCTGTCAGAATGAGAACTTGGGTCAACTGGATTTTATTAATGCCCCTTATGAAAGCCAGCTTTGGAGTTCAAGTTCACTTACTATTCCTCAGATACCTTGTTTTCTCCTCACTTTTGGCCTCAGAGGATTCCTTTATTTGCTCTCTCAGTACTATGAACATGTGCAGAACGAACATTATATGACATTCTATTTTGTATTTTTAATCTCAAGAGGGTGACTTAGGGTTTCTGGGGTTCCCTATTGTTTGAACTGATATTCTTCATTAATTACTAGAGCAAGCAATAGACCTTAAGTTCACTGGGGTGGTTTGTTAGCTCCTGTATTTCTAGGTGTTTCTGTGATGAGATGCTGGGCTTGATGGGAAGGAACTGAGGCAACTGTGGGACCTGTGTGTGTTGACCCTCCATTACTTACAGCTACCTGTCATGAAGTGGTAGTCCCTGCTGGCAGCTTGACTTTTCACTAGGATTTAGCTTGGAGTGCACTTGAGTAAAGCGTGGGTTGCTAAGATACGGACTACTCATTTTGCAACTGAACCAACATGGATTGTTGTCTCAGTGTGGAGACCAAAATGTCTTCAAGCACAGCGACCTTGCTTCTCAAAAGAGCACAGTCAGCCATAAGATCAGCATTTTGACAAAGGTCCAGATCCGTTTTTCCAGAAGGAAGTCATGGAAGGGAGAGGATCTGATGGGGCTGCTGTATCTGCATCTGAGTTGGATGAGGTCTGCTAATGGTGCTTTTGTTTGGTTTTAATAGCTCCAGTTCTCCCTGGACCCCGAACCCATTGCCATCAACTGTACGGCCTTCAATCACAATGGGAACCTGTTGGTCACAGGGGCGGCTGATGGCGTCATCCGGCTGTTTGGTACACAAGTGTGCTCATAGCAATCCTGAATGGTCCCATTCTTAAGTGACCAGCTGGAGTAGAGGCTATTGCAAAAGCCAGATTTTAAATGCACGTGGAAGTGCTCAACTTGGGGTCAAAGTTTCCAAAACACCCAGCATAGTCAGCTTGCACGTGCTTAGTGTTAACAGATGTGGAGCCAGTGGAGCTCAATAGGCCTTAGATCTTGGGCTATTCCATCTGAGTCCTTGTTGCCTGTGTGGGATGCAGGAGGACACACAAGAGTAATACTGTTCACTTGATGTGGGTAGCTCCTTCTCTGTCCCCAGGGTTTGAGATGGGGACAGGCCACTGTATCTATAATGGAACCCTAGGGCACTCTGTGTGGACTTATAGAGGTCTTATAGGAAGGACTCCTGTGTCCTCCTAGACTTATGGGATCCCTAAATGAGCTCCAGCTCACCATAGGGATTCCCAAACCTCACTTAGATCCTGTTAAAGAAGCTGCTTCTGCAGCTCTTAGGTAGCCCAGCCTCGTGGGTAGGGTCAGTACTGTCGGGTCCAGGAGTCCCTTGACCACTAGAATTCATAAGCAGAGGGTGGGCAAGAGAGAGGGGCTTATGCTAGGCAGAAGTCTTCAAGGTGTACCCAAGTCTTAGTGGCCTTCTTGCTGCCTTAGACATGCAGCAGCATGAGTGCGCCATGAGCTGGAAGGCCCACTGTGGGGAAGTCTACTCGGTGGAGTTCAGCTGTGACGAGAACGCCGTGTACAGCATCGGTGAAGACGGCAAGGTAGGTGCCAGAGGGATTTATTGACAGAGTGCGGGGACACTATGAGAGGCAGGGGACAGATCCGGTCATGGGTCTATGAATTCTGTGACCACCGTTTTGTCATCTGTAAAATAGGGACCCATAAGATGGGTCTTGGGGCCAAGATATGCTTTGGTAATTGAGTGGTGACCTCCGTGGGTGCATAATTTGCTGAGGGGCTGGGGACAGCTTCCCAGAGGCCGACAGACCCAAGCAAAGTCTGTAGCAGTGAAAAGGAAAGACTCTCTCCTTCCAAAATATCATATAAAGACATGCCCTTTATAGATTCCTTCTGCAGAAGGGTGTTAGGAAGTAGGAATGGCAATGACCTTGGAAAGTTTCTGGGGATGCCTGTCATATATGCCTTCCTATACCTTCAGGCTTTATACTAACTACCTGTGTTCTCCATTGAAACCAGTAATTACAAGATCAATTCCTTTTTTTTTTTTTTTTTTGTGGTTTGGGATCTTGCTATGTTGCCAGGTGGCTTCAGATTCCTGGGCTCAAGTGATCCTCATTCCTTAGCCTCCTGAGAAACTACAGGCCTGTGCCATTGCACCCACATTCAGCCCTTCATCTGAAAGCTACATGAAGGGACTGGGTGTGGTGCACAACTGTAACCCTAGCACCTTGGGAGGCTGAGGCAGGAGGATCGAGAGTTTGAGGCCAGCCTAGGCTAATTGAGACCCTGTCTCAAAGAATGAAAAAATTCCCCAAACTATAGGAAGGAGGATTTAAAGCTTGACTTCTATTTGCATGGATAGGATTCCCAATGAAGTGGTGGTCACAGCCAAGTACCCTGTCCACACTGTGGGCTGATGAGTTATGCACACCATAATAAATGGAGCTAACTTTGTATCAGTACTACTCAATGTCCAATCAGTTGCACTGCTGAGAACCTGGAAATGGATCTAGAATTTGTCCTCTGTACTTTGTTCCTAAGTAAGAAAATCAAGTTGGACTCTAACTGATGGTGATAATGATAGTAATAGTCACTTGAAGCATCCCTCCTGCTTGAGAGATCAGGAATCCATACAAAGGCAGTTATTCTCCCTTTTCCTCTGCTGAGTTCAGACCAGAGGGAAGAAGAAAAGTTGGACTTTGACATGAGGTTGCTGACTCTTCTGGATTCTTCCCCTTCTGCCAGCAAATTATGTTGGCAAGAGATGGGACTTTGGGGTGGCCTATGGACAAATCACCCCAAACCCTACTCTGCCTGTGGATCTTGAAAGGCCTTTCAAAGCTGTCAGAACTCTGGCAGAGGGAGGTGGGTTGCCCCCACCGGCCTCTGTTCTGGGTGGGCCCTGGTGGTGCCTCCCATGCTCGGGTCCTGACTTGCCTTTGGGTGCCTGCTGAGGGTGCTCTGGTTGTGTTTTGTGTCTGCAGTTCATCCAGTGGAACATCCACAAGAGCGGCCTGAAGGTGTCCGAGTACAGCCTCCCTTCAGATGCCACAGGCCCCTTTGTCCTGTCCGGCTATAGCGGCTACAAGCAGGTTCAAGTTCCCAGGGGCCGGCTGTTTGCATTTGATTCAGAGGGCAATTACATGCTGACGTGCTCTGCCACCGGGGGTGTCATCTACAAGGTAACTGGGTGATGGAGTCATAGTGGGCAGGGGGCTCCTCCCTGGAGGTCAGCCATGGCTGAGCCTGGCCCTCTGTCTCACCCTGCATAGTTGTGGAGGAGCCTGGGACTGGACAGATAGCACATGGAGCCTCCTTGCTGCAGGCCACTGGGGCTGGTTCTCGGCCCCAGTAGAGAAGGTGGGATTGCGCAGAACACGAGGTACCCGCCCTTCTCTCTGCTTGTCCTTTCGCTGTCCTTGACAAGATTCTGTTCTTTTGTGTTCCTAGTTCTTAGAAATAGTGCGTATTACAGAAAGCCATTAAGGAATAGGGAGAAGAGTTGCAGTGTTGGACTGGAGGAATGTGCTATACAGGCTTGTGGTGGTTTAGTTTAGTTATTCTAATCTGATACAGATCTATTATGTCATGGGAGGTTCATGAGATAAGTACATTATAGCCTACGTTTGAGACAGAAGTTTGAGGTTGTTATTTGTCAAACCATGATGTAAGTTGTCCACATTGTTTTTGTTCCTTAGTTTACACATTTGCTTCAGTCTTCAAGTCAGAGATGCTCTATTTCATGTGGGTTTTTTTTTTTATAACTGTATGAAATTTAAAGCACCTTACTAGTATTATCCAATAGCCTAGTAGTGAGGATTTGTGTTTAGCCTGAGCTCACATAGAGAGTTAGTGCTAAGTGAATTCAATTCCTAGCTGCAGTGTTACGTTTTAGTTACTTGCCTGATGGTGGTATTCAGGTGTAGGTATAAGGAGTCATTCAAGGTGAAATATTCTCAGTGTTTCTCATTGCCATAGCTCATCAGTCAACAGCATGTTTGGAACAGCAGTTGTGTGCTGAGTCCTGGACTCAGCCCTGTGGAGAGCACCAAGGAGATCTGAAATGGGATCTCTGATCTCCTGAGGCTCACAGGCAAATTAGAAAGAGACACAGCACTGCCAGTGCAGCCTTGGGCAGTGAAGACCGAGTCCTCATGGAAGTCCTGAAGGAGGCAGCAGTCTGTGGATCAGAAGCCCTGGAAGAAGGAGGAAGTGTTGGGGAGACAGAAAAGCAGGCCTTGGGCTCTGGCTTGGGTGGAGACCACTGAAGAGCTCACAGTGGGGCAAGGGTCCCTGTGCGTGGGGCAAAGGGGTGCTGATGTGGGAGACTAGTTTTCAAGACTGGACTGATGTGCATGGTGACACCTGGGTTTGCTGTCAGCGAAGCTTGTCTTTCTGCAGAGGTGGTGATTTTGGTGGCTCTCGTTAACTTCTCATAACTGTGTATCTCTTGATGGTGATTCTGTAAAAAGCCTCCAGTTCATAAGCCTAATTTTATTCTCCAAAGTTTTGTTTTAGTTGAGTTTTAGGTGGGCTATACCTTGCTCTTTGAGAAATGTTGTGTGTATATATATATAAAATGTGTGTATTGTATACATATCATGCTGCTTTTTCATTTGCTCTGATTAGTTTATATGATTTGCAGTCAGATTTGCTCTATAATCTATTAGTGGGTTGAAAGATTTTTCTCTGTGCAGTTTTTAAAATGTCAGCAGTGCAACTGGGCATAGTGGTGTATATCTGTAATCCCATCACTTTGGGAGGCTGAGACTGGAGAAGGATAGCTTGAGTTGCCCTGGACTACACAGTGAGACCCTGTCTCAAAAAACCCCAACCACAATACAAATTAAATGTCAATAATGGGCCCAATTACTTACGGGATCTACTGAACTTCAGATCCAATTTTCATAATCTATAAACAATTTAATTGATGGCTTTTATAAGTATTTTCTCCATGAAGACTGCCTTTTGCTCTTGGATGCCATATATCGTGCTGTTGACAGTACCTCATTTACTTCTTTTTCCCCTTGTCTGTTAGCATCTGACCTTTCACACATGTGCACAATTGCTGGATGGCTATCAGTGCTGGTGGGCTCAAAGACAGCCTCACACATTAATTGTGGCCTTCCTGTGCCAGGCTCCACTCTGGGTGCCACAGGCTGGCCCTACTTCAGGAGAGAGCTGAGGTTCTGCCCTCCTGCTGCTTGCATTCCTGTGATGGGAAACTGACTTTGAACTAATGAGCAGATGCATGAGCAAATGTCACCTGGGACAGTGACACTATTGTAAGAGAGTAGTGGGTGGGACGGGAGGCACTGGCTGACATCACAGTGGAGGTGGCAGAGACAATGCCATCTGTTTAGGAGTTTCTCCCAAAAGTAAAGGCATTTTCTGGCTCAAGGAGTTAAACAGCCTTCTTGAAAGGTATGCATGGAGACCTGGCCACATCCTCAGGTTGGTGTGGCCACCCCCAGGCTCACAGTGGATTGGTTACAAAGATAGCTGAAGGACTATTGTTTGTAAGTGGTATCCACTAACACTGCCTCCTCACTCCTGTCCTCTTGCAGCTGGGTGGCGACGAGAAGGTTCTGGAGAACTGCTTGAGTCTGGGTGGCCACCGGGCCCCTGTGGTCACTGTGGACTGGAGCACTGCCATGGACTGTGGAACCTGCCTCACTGCCTCCATGGATGGCAAGATCAAGCTGACCACCCTTCTGGCACATAAACTCTGATGGACCTGCCCCAGGTGGCACCATGCAAGCAGTATTGTCCTGGGGGTGGGGAGACAAGATGGGAGAGCAGGATGCTTCACTTCCAGCTCCCTGCTGCCAGTGTGGCAGATCTTCAGAGGAAGACTGAACAGGGGCTCAGCACTGTCCAGCTGTGGTGACTGGAACAGGAGCTTCACAGAGCAGTGGCATGTGCTTCCCAGAGATCCAAATCGTGGGCTGTGGCAGAAGCATGCTTCAGACTACAGGAGGAAAACTCAGGAAGAGGAGAGACAGTGATGGGTGCTGTGTTGGCCCAGGAGAGAGTGACAGTATTTTGTACATACTTGCTTCTGCTGCTTTTTTTTTTTTTTTTTTAAAGAGAATGCTCTTGTGGTCACCTAATGTCTCTCTCTAGGATGTGTGTCACTTTGCTCTGGTGACAGTCAGCCATGGACTCCCTGCCTTTGTTCCCCAACCCTGTTCTTGTGGGCCATGGGGATGAACCTTATTAGGTTCACCTGTAGCTTTGAGGGACATGGGACATGGGCCCACAGAGTGTCCTTCTGGGCTCAAGGCTAGGTCACAGCATCTCTGAGGATCCTAAGAGTTGCTGCTTTTGTTACAGAAGCTTCTCAGGACAAGGGTAGGGGCTGAGGCCTCTGCCACAGGCCTCCCCTCTCTTTTCTGTGGCTGCTGTTTCCAGCACCTTCATTTAGTGACTTCCCTCATTCTTCTACTATTAGCAGCTGCCTGTGTCCCCTCTTGGTAACTATTAAAAGGTCAGTAAACCAGCCTAGACACTGGATGGAAACCAGGGTTTCAGACTGGCCCACTTGTGGCTGAGCTGAGACTGAATGAACTGTGTGCACACCCTTGCCCAAGGCCTGCCTTCTATTCCCTGACTTGGGGGTCCTTGAAGAGGCAGTTCCTCCCATAGGTGGGGAAGAGCAAGAGGCCATCCCCTTGTCCCTCCTGCATTCCACAACTGAGGCCAGGGTGGTGCAGGAGCCACCATGGGATCAGAAACAGCCTATGGCTTCCACACTTGTCAGGGACGATTTTGTCACCTACCTAGGGAAGGCCACTGCTATGAACAGTGACTGCTCAGAACAGTCATTTTAGAGCCTCTTTGGGCTCCAAGCCCAAAGAGAGCTGGAGTGGAGGCAATTCCTAATTAGTTACTTTGGGGAAAGCATGAAGTACTAAGGCTTGAGTTTCCTTTCACTAGGACTGAGGAAGGCTCATGTGTGTGTGGCTTGATTACAAAAAAAACACCAGAGAGAAGTAGTAACTAGTTACCCTTTTCTTACCCATTTGCACTCCTCCAATGAAGAAAACCTAGATGTCTCCACTTAATGTTTCTTCACCTTTGGCACTGAAACAGCAACCTTATCTGTCCACTTAGATTCTGTGGGACATCTGGAATGTGATCCTGGGTTTCATTTGAGTTAAGAGTTCATGGTTTTAACTTTTCCTCTCATCCCAAAGTTTGTCCTCTGACCCATTCTCTCCTATCAATACTGTCCCTTCAGGTTGCTGAAATGTTTTAAGGATCACAGCTACACAGATACCCCAAACTCTGATGTTCCTCCCTGTCCCACCCCTGTCCCTTCAGGTAGAGTGCCTATCTTCAAATAAAGCATGTTGGGACTTAATCTCCTTCAGAGCACCTGCTCAGCATCCACCCAAGAATCCATTCAAGGCCCCATCCTCCACTATCTTGAATGAGGGCAGCATGTGAAAAAAATCAAGGCAGGCCAAGCCTCAGTCCCTGAGCCTGCACACCTGACCAGTGCTGACTGCCTGGCCTAGCCTGGCCTGGCCTGGCCTGTGCTGAGAGCTTCCCTCACTCTCCTCAGGTGCTCATCGTTGCCCCAAAGCCAGCCGTGTAGCATGGCTTTCAACTGCTTAGAAGCTCAACATGTCTGGAAGTACAGTATATACACACTGTGGACTGACATCTGTGGTGCCTCACACAATAGATACACACAATTTACTTGTTAATTTAAAAATAACCCCACCTCCCCAGTGCTGCAAGTCTCACAGCTCTCCTTAGCCCTGCTCCAGTCTCTTCCCCATAACAAGACAAAGGTTTCCTGCTTTGCAGGCTTCGTTTTCCAGCTGGCCATGGAGTGGGTTTTCAGAGAAGTGAGCAAGGCTAGGTAGTTCTAGGAGCAAGTAGTTTTTGTTCCTTTATTCACAAAAGGAAACATGCTTTTCACCCCAGCCCATTAGACTTATCCTGGCTCACAACCTGTGAGATTTGAGGACCCTCAGTGACTGATCTCTTCGTGATGGCTGGGGACAAGCTGATGCTACGGAGTGACCTGCCCTACTAGAGAGGCGGGAGGCTGGGTGACTGGCTGTTTTTGACTTGGACCCATTGATTTATGTCCTTAGAAACTGATTTATTTAAACTTTCCCACCCACCCAGCCGACTTCCCTAGGATTGAGATTTAGCATTCAGGAAGAGCTGGGGAAAGAGCTTGGTTGAAACCGGAGAAGGGAGAGCTTCCCACCTGCCCAGGGCTCCAAGCTGTGTGCACCATTAGCTGATCCGCTGAAATCACATTTCACCAACTGTCCTGATTCTCATTTGGGGAGCAGACGGTGTCAGATCTGTGACTCCTTGCCAGCGCAAGCAGTCGTGTCTCTCACCTGGGAGCTTCTTTCCTGGCCTCTTTTATTTAGGCTGCTTTAAGCCATGGGTGTCACTTTAATGGATGATAGGTAAATTCCACATCGCTGAAACCAGCAGGACACCTGGGCTGCAGGGTGGGTCGTCAATCTGAATATTAAATACTAGTAACATCTATTAGTTTGAGATAAAAGTGGATAGAGGCTTTGATTTCTCTCCCTACACCTCCTCCCCGCGGAATGCTTCGCCCGCTAGGGAGAATTACACTTGGTTTCTGTGGGCATCCCAGGAAGGACTGCCAAAACACAGAATTTCTGACTTTTACGCCTGGGAATCGACTTTGATTTTCCAAAAGCGTCGCCACGGCCTCTCTGGCTTTAGCAGCTGACTTGAACCGGGCGCGCTGCCCGCAGGGGGCGCCCCCAGGCCACAGCGCCAGCCAGTGGCCGGGTCCGGGAGCGCGCCGGGTCCGAGAGCGCGCCGGCCCGGAAGAGGCGGTAGCTATAGGCGCGGACCCGACAAGGCCTGGCAGCCGGTGGAGGTGGGCGAGGGGCCGCGCCAGGGCCGCGCAACCGTCCAGGATCTCCCCCGCCCCGCTCCGGAAGTCAAGAAGGGGCACGACCCCAGGAGGCGGAGACCAGGCAAACTGGAGAGTTGCGCGCCAGGCGGCTGTGCGCACTACCTGGGCCAGGCACAACCCGGTCCTGATCTGGCTCGGGGGCCTCGGGCCGGCGGAGGCGGTGCCTTCAGCAGGTCGGAAGGAACCCAATGACCATTTCCCGTGTCTGGGCCGCCGCGATTCCGGTAGTGAAGCGAGGCCCATGGTGTTCCTTCCCGCGGGTTGGCACCGCCTGGTTGGGGCGAGCGCACGGGTCTGTCTCCAAGAGTGAGCTGGAGGTTGTGAGTGGGCATTGCTGGCACATCTCATTTGTGCCGGGCCTCTATTTCACCAGAGTAGTGAGAGTTTTGGCTGAGGCCCGACATCCGAGAAGCACAATGCTCTGGCAGATGCTGCAGCTCTGAAACTGGGCAGGCACGGGGTCTGCAGCCCGCAGGACCTTGTGCAAGTCCAATGCATCTCCGGGTCTGATAAGTTTCGGTGTGCATAAAACGCTGCACTGCCCTCACTCGGTGGTATTATTGTTATCAGTGTCCGCATTTCCAAGAAGCAGGGGGCATTGGCAAAAGTCTGTCCTCTGGCTGAGCAGGTTAGAGTGATGGCCCGCTAGCTTTTTCTTAACTTGTTAGCAGCCATTCTGGATGATCAGTGAATTATCAAGTTACGATGTAGAGAAGGCTAACTTTCTCTTCGCTGTCTACCCCTTTCCAGGCAAACCTCTGCTTTGTAAGCAGGAGATGCTTAGGCAGGAGCATCTGGGTTGATTCCAAAGTGGAAGCTGGAGACCTAGATCCTTGAGTCACAGCCCTTTCTCTACGTGGGGACTGGGCTTCAGGACCAGAGGGGCTGAGTTAGAATAGGGTCCCAGCCAGAGCTTCTGCATTCAGTGAATCAGGAGAGCCAAGGACCGTTCACTTCCTGACTCCTCTGCAGGTTTAAGTTTGACCAATCAGAAGGATCTTCAGATTAAAGGGGGCGGGGAGTGTTAGCCAGTGAAACTTTGTGAGTCAGAATGGCCTGGGTTTCTTGGAACCTTGTCACTGTAGAGGAAGTGAGAAGTCTGGGGTCAGATGAATCATGGGTGTTGGATTCTGGGTAACACCTGGGTGCTGAGAAGAGGAGATTCCTCTAACTTCAGTGCAGTGGCTACAGGAAGGCCTGTCTGGTTGGGTCAGGCTCCCTGTGTGGGAGTACTGGCACTGGACCAGGTCACAGGGCTTTGTCTCCCCATCCATGGTCCTGGGTGCTACCACACCTCCAGCATGACATTGCAAATGGCTGACTGAATCCCCTGGACCCTGCTCACCCTCTGGGTCACCTCTGGCCTGCTCAGCACTGAGCAGTAATTGTGACTGATGACTGGAAATGTGGCTTATTCAAATTTATTGACTTTTTTCTTCTCTTAAGTGGTCCCTGCTGCCCCCCGTTTGGGACAAATAGACCTCCAATTCCTGATATGACAGAGTGGAATTTGCTGTCCTGAATCAGAAACAAATCATGAAGCTTGTGTCCTGACTCCTTTGAGAAAACAACAGAAATGGAAGTCTTAAAAGCTGAGAACAAAAAGAGGTCCCTTCCCTCTTGGATGACAGCCCAGGATGAGAGGAAGGGGGTGCTCCTGAAGTTGCCCAAAAAGAGGAGAACAGCGGTGGTGGCAGCAACGAGGTGGGACCACCTCTGGCCAGGCCAGAACACTCTTGGAAAGCAGGAAAGGGACCCTTCAGAGATGGAAGGATGTGAGCTGGCTAGCATTTCCCCCAGTGGGACTGAGGCCTTAGGAGGCACAGTGTGTTGTCCCTCACAGTACAGTTCCTCTGTACTGGTGAGGTCTCTGCCATCTGGCCCTGACTGTCAACTCACAGACAGTGGTTTTCACATATGAACCAAGCTCTCAGGTGTCTAAAATACCAGTCTCCTCATTTGTGACAAAAATTGTACCATTAAGTGGACAAGATCAATGGTCACCTAGTCTCTTGATTGATTCCTGTTCTTCCTGTGGACAGAACTTTCGGGACAACGAGCAGCAAAAAATCGAAGCTGTGGGGGTACTTAGTTGACTGTTGGTAAATGGGGATAGGGTAAAGGGGCAGGGGTCTTCAGGCTGCCAGCATTAAGTAGGAAGGGCATCACTGATACTCCCTTAGACAGGGCAGGGGCTCTCAGCTCTCTGAAGTTCTATTCTTTTTTTTTTCATTTTTATTAGCATATATCCATTGTACAGGGGGATTCATTGTGACAATTCCTGATTGTGCACTGGTTAGATTGCCCCCAACATTTCCCCCTCCTCTGAGGGTCTATTCTGACCATTCATCCCTTTGTGATGGTTGCAGTCTTTGATAAAGGCATTCACACACTTAGGTGTGTGTTTTGGTATTGGCCTGATGGCCTGAACCTGCTCATGTACACTGTGTGCGTTTCAAAGTGTGGCTTTCTGACCATCAACTCCTGGCCCTAGCTTCTTGTGGAGGACTTGGTGGATGATGAGGAGCCTGGGGTCCATCACTGGGTGAGGAAGCCAGGTTCATGCCTTGGGGAAGTTCCTCAGCTTAGAGGAACATCTTTACGTAAGCTCATCTCTGGTGGGAAGGCAGGGGGAATGTGACCTTGCTCTCATTTTCTTCCTTGTCATAAGACTTGAGACTCTCTTCCCCAGCTGTGACATTGTTTCTTTCTTTCAGAACCCCTACAATGAAGACTGTGTACTGCATGAATGAAGCCGAAATGGTGGATGTGGCTCTAGGGATCCTAATTGAGGTAAAGTTGGCTGTGTGTCTTTTTATTCTTGTGGCAGAACTTTTCATGGGCAGAAACTAGCCTAGGCTCTTGGTCATTGTCAGAAGGCAAGGTGCCCTCAGCTGCCTCTGGACCCTGCTCCTCTGTTGGCCTGCTTCTTCCACCTACCTCCTGCTGGCTCTCCTCCCAGTTGTGCTCCCTTCAGCCCCTCTCCATGTGAGGTGGGTGCCATGTGGGGTAGACCTTGGGGTTAGATGTCTGGGTGGGGTGTGGATAAGAGGGAAAGTACACCCTTTGTTTGGGGGTGACTCTGTGTACTGGTGTGAATGTGGAGTGGGCACAAAAGTATTCATCTGCTTGTGTCCTTGGAGAGGGTCCCAGTTGGGTGAGATGACTTCTTAACCATTATACCTCTCCTAATCAGAATGCTTACCAAAATAATAATAATTGCAGTGCCTTAGAGTTTTAAAATACTTTATAGTTTGCAAGATGCTTTTAAGCAGCGTATTACCTCATAAATCTTTATAATGACCATGTGGTACAGTAATTTTGGATACTACTGTCCCCAAGAAAATGAGATTCTGGGACTTAGTTCTGGAGCCAATAAGTGATGGGCCCACAGCAGGTTCTGTAGCCTGGTCCCCTTGCATTCTCTTGCCTTTCCAGTTGTATTTTTCTGTTAGTGTCTTTTTCTTTCTACTCAGCTCTTCCTTGTGTCCTTTCCTGCTTCTCTCCCAAGTTGGACTTGATTTCTTCAGGAGCCTGAGGAGGTGGTGTGGGGAGCAGCAGGGTGAAAAGAGGAGGGTGGGTGCCCACTAGGTGGGGGCAGTGCCCAGCCTGGTCACATGCTGGCTTAGCAGCTGCTTCTGAATATGCCCTCATGGACAGACTAGTATGTCAGGGGAACAAACTGTGTGGGTTGAGCCTGTAATTTTTTCTGCCCCGCAGGGTCGAAAACAGGAAAAGCCCTGGGAACAGCCAGCTCTGGCGAACTCTGATAAGCCACCACTCTCCCCCTCCTGCTCTGTGTCTCCTCACACGAGTTCCCCTGGGAGCAGCGAGGAAGAGGACAGTGGGAAAGACGTGCCTGCCCCAGTTTTCAGCCCTGCTCAGGGGCCTGGGGTTCCCAACTCTACCTGTAGCAAGAGCCCTAAGGAAGAAGAGGAGGAGGAAGAGGAAGATGTGTTGAAATATGTCCGTGAGATATTTTTCAGCTAAGGGATAAACTGTTCACTAGACTTACTGCTGAGAGCAGCGGGGGCTGCCCCTGTACAGGTGGGGCCTCTGTGCTTCTGGATTCGTACCTCCTGAGGCCTAGCAGACTTATCTTACAACAGAAGTCATAGGACACTCCCCATCTTGGGGGCAACTCCATGAAATGGAACTGAGAACTCAAAATGAGTTCCCTTTAGGTCTGCCCTGCCTTGTGCCCTCTTCCCACTCAGAGGCTCTGGAATTCCAGTTGTTTTATTCAAGTACCAGGTTCCAGGAAAAATGAGGTCATGGGGTCCAACTTACAATTTCTGAGGGAAAATATGACTGCCAAGTATACTGGAATTCCTAGAACTTACTCAGGAGGATCCCTCCAAAAGGAGGAAGTCTGGGTTAAACAATTCACATCTCAAGTGGTCCCACAGCAGGCTGTCCCCCACCAGCTGGCTGGAAAGGCAAGCAAGCTGTCCACAGTTGCCTGCTTACGGGGAATGGGAGATTCTTCACATACCACTGGCTGGTGAGCCACACAGGCCTCCTCCCTGACTGCCACCTTTCTTCCACCTGGTGGCCTCTGCCTTGGTCCCTGGGCAGCTGTAAAGTGAGAGTGGGACAGAAGCCAAAGGAGATAATGACAAAAGACCACACCAGAGTCCATTTCTCTGTGTTCAGTATGGCTTTTAACAGACACAGAATGTGTAAATCATTGCCATATGAGTGCCAAAATTACACAAAATCCCCCAGTGTGTAAGCTGTGCTTCCGTCCCTTCCAGTTCTGGGTGGAGATGTGAGGGGTACTGCATTTGTGTGCAGGGGGACCACTCAGTCCCATTCACTTTTTTTTAACAAGGTTGACACATATGCTTCCACACTCTTTGCCAGCTGACTCCTGCTCTACCTGGCTTCAGGTCAGGGGCCTTTCAGAGGTCCCTTAAAACCAGCCAGGCTTCTCTTCATGCCCTGTGTCTTTTCTTCATTGAATCCCGTGGAGGTCATTCCTGGGCCCTTGGGCATAGAGTTCTGATGAGAAGCTCAACACGGTGTAGGAAGTAGCAGTCTGCTAACCAGGGCCCAAGGGATACCAAGGTATTCTGGTAATCCCTCAGATCCCACTGTTGACATAAACCTTCACTGAGCTTCAGTTGGCAGTTTGAGAAATCAGCCTGAAAATATGACCCCATGACAGGAATCTTAACTCTCTACCCTATGAGGCTAGAGTAAGAATTGCTCAGACTGGTTAATTAAAGCAGGAATTCGTGTGAGGATGGGCTGCGTGGTTTTATAGCGTCCTCAGAAGTCCTGAAGGACAGATAGTCCTACTCTAAGAAGCCGCAGATACCCCTGCCATTCTTGCTGCCTCGGTCTCCTTGACACAGGAGCCCCACCCACTCAGTGGATGGTTCCATCTGCTGGAGTTGGAGAACAGCATTAGCTGTGAAGATGTGCCAGCACGTGGTTCTCTGGCATCTTCTCTGAGCATAGCTGGAACTGAACCCTTGCTATCATGTAAGCCTTTAGACAGGACTAGCAGCTCTCAAGCTTGATCTTGTCCTTGATTCTTGGACGGAACATAACTGTGACCATAAACAAGAGGATGAGTAAAGCCTGAGCCAGGCCCAGAGCTAGGAAGCCAGGTCCCAGGAGATAGGGTCTGACCCATTTCCACACAAAGGAGAGGAAAAGGCCCAGTCCGCTGGCTAGCAGCATGGAGGACATTGTCAAGAAGCCCACTGCCAGCTGCCACTCTCCCTGGTCACCATTGCAGTGGCCCAGAAGAAGAGGCAGAGGGACAAAGAGGGTGAGGACCAAGGCCCCATACACGCCAAGTCTGGCTAATGCCAGGCCAACCCGAGGCATCCCCAGGGCCTCCAGCTCCGGGAAATGGTGACATTGTAGGGAGCCCATGTCCTCATTCCACAGGCAGAAGTTGTAGAAGCCGATTCTCAGGTTGGGCAGGTCCACGAGGTTGCCAGCCTCCCAGAGGAGAGCATAAAACATCAGGCAGATCACCACAGCCACAAGGATCATGATGCCCACGAAGAGCAGGTGGTTGCTCCGCCATGGCCTAGGGATGGCCATCTCTCCTCTTTGCAGGGGACCTGGGGGGGAAGTCACACAGTGAGAGTCCAGACCTCCCTCTTCAGCCTGTTCTGGCATTTCACAAGCTCATGGTCTCCTTCCTGACATTCCATAAAAACTCATGGCAAACTCACCCCATCTTGTCCCCACCAGGACAGGAAGTTCCAGGTAACCTATAGCCAGGACCTGTGTAGGATGAGTCATTTCTACCTCATTGGTTGGAGGTCAGGAGGAAAAGTCTCCCAGGCAACTGTGAGGGCCTGAAATGTCCAGACTGGAGTGCCCCTGTGTCAAAGGCTTTGCTGCAACATAAACACAAGAAACTATCGGGAGTATTTGTGAGGGAGTCTCTCAGATCCTTTCTAAGGTGGAGTTTGGGGTGAAGGATGAGACTCACTGTTAATGGGGGCCTGAAGATGGAGGCAGGTGTTGACTTGACTGAACTGTACCTCTTATCACAGCTGCTGTGACAACCACCTGGGGAGCTGTAAAGATGACCTATTGGTGGGCCACAAATCAACCATATTTGAACTTCTGTACTTGGGTGCACACTGGTGTGTTTCCAAGCTTTGCTGTTCATTGGAATGTGAGCCTGGGCCAATGATCTCTGCCAGGCCTACTCTGTAAAGTATGTCACCTGCCTTGCTTTGGGAATTCATTACTGGGGCAAGACAAGCCCTCACCTGTGATAAAATCTCATCAGAGCACTCATCGCTTTTAAAGCAGCTACACTGATAACTGTAATAAATATTAATTCTAGGAAATTTTATTTTCTGTCCCTCTCAGAAAAGGGAATGTAGAATCTGAGTTTTAAAAGGAAAAAAATATAAAAATAACTTTTCGTCCCACCTCACACATAGAACCACTAATAATATTCTACCAGTATTTTTTCCTGTGTGCTGATGTATTTTTAAAAAATCATACTGTTGAACATAACGCTTTTTTCGCTGAATAATGTGAACATTTTTCCAAACACATGATTGATGATCTGGGTGTAGTGCCTTGTACCTGTAACCCCAGCTATGTAGGAGTTGTAAGTAGGAAGATCACAGTCCAGGTCTGCTGGGGCAAAACCAGGAGACCCTGAAAAATAACTAAAGCAAAAAAGGGCTGGAGGTATGGCTCAAGTGGTAGGGTGCCTGCCCAGCAAGCTCAAGGCCCTTAGTTCAAACTCTAGTACTGCCCAAAACAAAACAAAACCCAAATAACTCATTTCATTACACTCTATTTAAAAAAATCTCTTTACTACTTTCTTACCCAGGTTACTTTTCAAATCAGCCTCTAAAACGGAGTTCTACACTGCCTTTATCTATGTACACTACCCAGTATGGAATGAAATAGCCATTTACATTAGGAATGACGAGTTGCCAGGAGGCTTGTGAGGCCCAGATTCCAAGGAGTGTCCTGTGGGCTCTGTCCAGAAATGCTAGTGGGGTCCAGCAGTGAAGTAAGTGGTGGCCCTGGAGAAGGAACCAGAGACCCTGTTGGTCAACTTCTCAGGACACCTCTATAGGGGAGCAGTCCCCACCCCATTCCCCTTTTCCCACAGCTGAATGGAGGCTCTATCTGTTCCACACACCACATTTGTTCTGCAAGAACAAAAAGGGACCAGGTGGGAAAAAGAACATGGGCTAGGCCAGGGATTTGTCAGCCATCTTTTGCCAGACACCTGGTGGTGAGCAGGTGCCCATTAGAAGAGTGAGGCCTGACTCTGTGCTGCCTCCACCTGGCACCTGGCAGTACTGAGCAGCCCACCCTGGTCCCACCATGACTTCTCCAGAGGAGCTCAGAGGGGACTCTTGGAAATGCAGGGACCATATTGGCCAAAGCCTTGGCAGCTGACCCTGCATGGCACTTATCACTCAATGGCCCAGAGGCCTGAGAGGCCGAAGACCTTCTGTGTGAATGTAGTTGGAGATGCTTGGAGCAATAATGTTTGCCACAGACTGAAAATGGTGGCTTCAGTCTGTATGCTACTAGCCCGGCACGATGAAAAGCTTTACTCAGTCTAGCCCATGGTGCAGAAAAACTGCCAGAGTATTTTGAATGCTTTTGCATGGTGAACACATTTTATAAAAGTCTACATGTATCTTTAGTGGGTTCAGGTATTTCAGGATGAGAGATGGATTTGTAGGATGGGAACCCTGATCCATACACAACTTGTCAGAAATAAGGACTGACCTGTCTGCATTGTCCAGGAACCGCAAGGATCAAGACAGGGCTGCTTTGCTTAAATAACCCCTCTGCTATGCACACACATATGCACACACACACACACACACACACACACTTTAAAAAATGTTTCCTCTTATTTCTTCAGTTTGAATCCTATACACTTGGGTTAAAAATATTAAACATTTTTCTTTTGTTTTGGTGGTATGATGCTTTGAACTCAGTGCCTCAAGCTTGCTGGGCAGGCGCGCTCCTTTCCTTTTTGCTCTGGTGATTTTTTTGAGATAAGGTCCTGCTTTATGTTTGGGCCTTCCTGGTCTTTGAGTGTTCTGGTTTTACTTCCTGCAGTGGCTGGGATGACAGGTGGTATATCACCACACCAAGCCTTTTCTATTGATACAGGGTCTCATGAACATTTTTATCTGGGCTGGCTTTGAATGGTCATTCTCCTGATCTCAGCCTCCCCAGTAGCTAGGTGAGTAGCTAGGATTGTAGGCATGAGCTCCAGCACCCAGCTGAACACTTTTCACTTGAGGACAACTCTGTTAAAAAATTAATGTAGCTACTCAGAGGAGAGATTGCATCAGTCACACCACTGCAGCTCCTGCCAGACTCAGCCTTTGTTTTTGACCTCATTTTCTGTCAACTGACCTTTTGGAAGTTTCTTGTTTTGTTTTTTGTGAGACTGGGTCATATTACATAGCCAGGCTGGTCTTGATCCTCCTGCCTCTTCTGCCTGAGTGCTGGAATTATGGGCAAGAACCACCACACCTGGCATTTTGGAGGTTTTCAATGGAGAATCAAGCAAAATAAAACTGGAGCCAAGAATTGCAGGTCCAGGCATGGAGAAGCTAGTGGTCCCTGGTCTCCCTTCTCCCCTCTCCTCTTCATATGCACACAGAGTTTTGTCCTAGCTCCTGTGCCCAATGCTTGAGGCTCTCTGCCATCTGGTGTGACTTAGATCTTGAATTTGCAATCCTCTACTGGGCCCAACTCCCTTTTGTCCTCTACTCTTGCTTTGTGTAGTCCAGCATCTGCTTAGGTTGTACCCATTCCCATCAGCCCACACTCAGCCACTCCCCAACTCCTGAAGTCACACTGATCTGCACTTCCTGCCTCTCTAAATCCTCCCTGCCCTTTGTGAGTTCCTGGACTACTTCAGCTTCTCTTGGGTTCAGCCAGAAGCTGGCATATACGCTCCCCTAGAAGTAATCTCTCTGAGGAACAATCTTTGTCTATTTTGCTGTCCATTTTATTCCAAGAGTGATGGATGTTACAGAGTAGGCACTTTGTTTTGAATGAATGAATGAAAATGCCACGTGGTATCCTTGAGTTACTTTATGCACATGTGTTATGAACACACCTTAACACCGCAGAGCTTCTTGAGTGAGGGACTAGTCTTATGTCTCCTATATTCCCAGCACCGTGTTTGGAAGTCCGTATGGCTTCCTATTGGAAGTATGGACATATTTTAGGTCAGTCATAGAGAATCTGTGACTAGTCCTTGTTTCTTTTCCTAAAGGCTTCCCAGTGACAGTATATGCTATTTGGTTGGAAACCCTGACTCCTGTTACACTCTTCTCAAATCCCAAAAGCCCTGCTCTGTTTTTGTTTTGTTTTAAACACCCATGTTCATTATATTCTCTCCATAATGAAATTTTTAATTCCCTTAAATAACAAGCTTGTGCTTTCTTCACAGGGAAACTGCTGAGTCACTGTGGCCATTTTTTAGATGAACCTTTTCCTATTTATAAAAGATACATGCCAATTACAGAAAACTAGAAAAGTATATGGACGTGTAGAGAAAGATTAGAATTCATCTATAACTCTGGTGGTAGAAATAACCACTCCTAGCACCTCTCCTTCTGTAATGTTGCTTTACATACGTAGGATCAAGTAAATCCTTGTCTGTATTCCCACTAATGAGCATCGTTCGTCACATAGCCTGATTCCCTATGTCATTAGAAATTGTTTCCTAAATGTTATCTTTAAGGGCTTCATACAGCTGTACCATACTTCATGGTTTTTATACATTACGCTTTATAAGATTATTCATAATATAGATAATGCTATAGTGATTATGTTTGCAAATCAGTCTGTCCTTCTACCAATAGCCTAAGAGAATGCTTCTCTCTCTCTCTCTCTCTTTTTTACTTCATAGGTTTTGTTTAGAGACAGGGTCTCGTTTGGCTTTGAATTCCTGGGCTCAGTGGCCCTCCTGCTCCTCAGCCCCCTGAGTAGCTGGGACCATAGGCGCGGGCACATACCAACTTGCTGAAGAGCGTTTTTCTCATCTTACCCTCGCTGATATTCTTGGTTTTTTAAAAATGGTACTAGGCAACCACGCTGGAAAAAAATTTGGTGGCTACTTAAAAAGCTAGACGTTGGTATCACTCTTGGGGATATACCCAAAAGACTGTGACACAGGTTACTCCAGAGGCACCTGCACATCTATGTTTATTGCATCACTATTCACAATAGCCAAGTTATGGAAACAGCCAAGATGCCCCACTACTGATGAATGGATCAAGAAAATGTGGTATCTATACACAATGGAATTTTATGCAGCCATGAAGAATAATGAAATGTTATCATTTGCTGGTAAATGGATGGAATTGGAGAACATCATTCTGAGTGAGATTAGCCTGGCCCAAAAGACCAAAAATCGTATGTTCTCCCTCATATGTGGACATTAGATCAAGGGCAAACACAACAAGGGACTTTTAGCACATGATAAAAGCGAGAGCACACAAGGGAGGGGTGAGGATAGGTAAGACACCTGAAAAATTAGCTAGCATTTGTTGCCCTCAACTCAGAGAAACTAAAGCAGATACCTTAAAAGCAACTGAGGCCAATAGGAGAAGGGGACCAGGAACTAGAGAAAAGGTTAGATCAAGAAGAATTAACTTAGAAGGTAACACACATGCATAGGAAATCAATGCGAGTCACCTCCCTGTATAGCT